TCTTTGGTCTTGGCTACATGGACAGGGCACTGCCGGGGGTCTTCGGTCTTGGCTACATGGACAAAGGGTGATAATAATAATGGTTGACGAGTCTCACTTCATCCTCGGAGCAACTATCTTACACATGGATAAACAAAGCTCCAGGGATTCAGTAAGAACTTTCCTAGGGGACACGTGGAATTAGTGACAGGATGGATACTGGAAAATAGGCATCTTGGCTCTCAAGTCTGCGTTAACCTTTCAAAGGAAAACATAAGAGTTTAAACTACCTGTCATAGTTAACTTCAGCAGTCAACCTGATACAAACCTATAGTCACTTGGGAAGAGAAAATCTCAACTTTGGAATTTTCTCCATCAGATTGGCCTGCAGGAATGTCTGCTGGGCATGTTAATTGCTAACTAATGTAGACGGTACCAGCTCATTGTGGGTGTGCCATCCCTAGCCCTAGGCAGTTGGGCCTGTGTTATATAAAAGAGCAGCTGAGCAAACTAAAGAGAGCAAGCTAGTAAGCAGCATTTCTCCATGCTTCCTGTTATAGTTCTTGCCCTGGCTTCTCTTAATGATGGGCTATCAGCTGTAAAATGAAATAAACCCTTTCTTCCCCAAGTTGCTTTTGTCCATATGTATATCAAAACCTAAGACACTACCTTTTGACATTTTGAGCCATTGCAGTAAACCAGAGCTGCCAGGGCTTGAAGAATTTCCATGTGTGTCCAAGAGCTACACTGTTGAATAGCTGAGATTGTATAGGTCAGCAGAAAGTCTAAGTTCTGCTCATCCACAACCACCTGCCAAGAAAGGAGAACACAGAGATACTCAAACTTAGGAGAATGCATGTGCAAGTTTGGTCAAGAGAGGGGAGACCTTCCCTTCCTTGCCCCAGGGTTTCGGTTACTTCTGTCCCTGTGATCTCTCCAAAGTAGAATCTGGTAGTCCTTGTAACTTCTCCTAGAACTAATCAGAAACTGACAGATATAAATAGAGATACAAGATTCAATACACTGAAATGTCTTAGTTCAATTAAATTGACTTAATACACAGTAGTTACTCAACTAATACAAGCAAATAAACATATCTGCTAAATACTTACTCTGGATCTGTCATGATATGAGGAATACACCAAGAAGATATGACACACTCCTGTCCCCACAGAGTTTATAATCCTCCTGAGACAGAGAGTGGGCTAACCAAAAGTCGAGTTATGGACATTTAAGTCCATATATAGCATCATCAAATGCTAGAAATTGGCTATGGGCTGTAAGGCCACAGGTGACGGGAAGTTCTCCAACTGCCAGTGACACAAAGTTGAAGCACACTGGACAACAGCAAGAACTCAGAAGCCACCCCACAGCTGTCTGTGACCTTCTGGAACCTCCTCAGCTCCTATAACACACACAGCCGGTTACACATCAGGACACATCTCACTCCCTGACCACAGGGTTCTGGTTTTATTGGATGCTCTCCTCTCTTGCAGTTCAAAGGATTCTGGCTGACACAATGCTAACTGATATCCATACATTCATCCACTCAGGGATTCACTCAGAAATTTTAAGATGGAGACCTGCAGAACAGACCTTCACAGAAATAACTATGGACTTTTTATCCTGGGGCTCTCTGTTCCCAAGCTACTTTGGGAATTTTATGTAGATTGCAAAAATAATAGTTCCAGGAAAAAATATTGGTAGGAAAGAAATAGGGAATCAGGTGATTTTGTTCAGGGATATATCTTGGTCAATTCTATTTTTCATGAACAAACAAACAAACAAACAAACATCCCCCAAAACTAATTTGGCATAAATGATGTTGGCTTATTGAATCAAACATAAAAGACTATTTCTCATAAGCAGAATAGAATTTCTTGGAATATATTTTTGGTCAGTTAAATTTGAGTTTAATGCTGTACTCTTATTAAGCACTGGTTTTGTTTTGATTTGGTTTGGTTTTTTGGTAGTACTGATGCTGGGATTGAATCCATGGCCTCATGTGTACTAAGGGGCTGAGGCGCTACCATTCACTGAGTTACATTCCCAGCCCAAGACATTTTGCTTTTCCAGGATTTTCAAAAGATTAGACAACTGACCTTGGTGTAGCAGCAAACATCTGTAATCCCAACATTTTAAAGGATAACAAAAAGATCAGAAGGTTAAGGTCTTTTTCAGGCCAATCTGAGCTAAGATCCCATCTCAAAACAAAAAGGTGAACCTATCAGATCTACAGGTATAGTATTCCATGATCTGAGCTTTCAAGTTACATACATGATTACCTGTAATCTGTTCAGTAAACGATGGATCAGCTGAGACACTTTGCTCACAAGGTGATTCTGATTAAGAGGCACTAGCTGACAAGCTCGCACAAGAAGAGCACTGACGTCCTATTTAAAAAAAAAAAAAAAAAGGCAAAACAAAGATAAATGCACCTATTAGCCAAGTGAACAACCCCAAACCCCACACAATGGAAAAGCCCAGTGACTGTTCCACACCCAATGAGGAAAAACATCCGAGTCAAAGTCGAGGCAGAAAGCAGGGGCTGGAGGAGTGAAGTAACAAAAATTGGTAAGTACTAAAAAGGAAGGAAAAGAACTTCTACCATACAGTACTATTAAATAATAAAAGAAAGGCTTCTGGCACAGAAAAGCACATGCTACAGCTAAAAATACCAAGTGAGCCAGACATGCAATGCTATTGGGCAAATCAAAAACAACACTTACATAAAATTAGAAAATTACAGGGTGGGGGGGATGCTATCCACCAATTACACCATCTACAGATGCTTAATCAATAAAAGGGGATTGGGTATCTAGTATGTGTGAGGCAGTGGACTATGTCTTTGGACTCCAAAGGTGAAACCACGGAGAATGTACAATCTTGAGAGGGAGACAGAAAGATAACTAAGAAGATTTGAAGAATGAATAGAACTTTGCCAGACAGACAAGTAATCAAAAAACAAGGGGAGGGGATGGAGTGTGGGAAGCCTTAGAGAAGTGAAAAGTCCTTAGGTGCCTAGACCTGAGGCAGCAAGTTCCAAGTGACTGAACTCAAGAGGACAAACAGGAGAGAAGACTGGAAAGACACACATTTTGTTGTTGATGTGCAAAATATCAAATATATAAATAAAAAGTCCCCTTCATCTCATTTAGTTCCACTCTGCTCCCTTATCCATGGTATGCTGTTCTGGATTCCCCCCTTATATCTTTGAGCCCCATGTATTTGCTTCTTACTGTATGGATCATCTTATTAAGCAGCTTGATTCTGCCATTTGCCAACATACATTGAAAATCTCTGATTACGTTTACACTTGTATGTTTTTTTTGTTTTTTGTTTTTTTTAATCAATAGTAGACTCTGTCAAAGACTCTGGAAAGGGGCTCGAATGGAAGAAGATCAGCGAGAGTCTTTTGCCTAAAGCACAGCCAAAAAGAAAGAGAGAAGCATAGCCACAGAGAAGAGTGAGTGAACTGAGAAACATGTTTAAGACAGACTCTGAAATTTTTTAATCCAACAGGCTCCAGGATAAAGAAAAGAAGCAATGTGTACGCCTTGTGTATATTTGAGTCCGGGTAGGGTAGAATGAATTGGGGATTAGGAGTGTGGGAGACAATGTTTTCATCTTTGCGATTTGTTTGAGGTGATCATGGGTAGAGCTGGCCCAAGGATTCTGAAAATTAGTGGCACACAAGATCTGCTGTGTATGAATGAGATGACTCTGACAGCAGAAGTGGAAGCAAACAACTAGTGCAGAAACAAAACAGAAAAGACAGGCCTTACGACAAATATAGGCTCCAATCTAGCTCTGCCATTTGCCAAACCCGTGACGCTGGATCTTTGAGAGCTTCAGTGCGTACATCAGCGAAATCACTAAGTCTATCCTCGTTCCGACATTCCTGGAATCGCTCACCAGGGATGGCAGCTGAGGGCGTTAGAGCAGAAGCCTTTGAAAGATGCTGGCTTGCAAGCTTTCAGATGGAGGGCAGAGAATATGGCACGGACCGAGGGAGAAAGCCAGCCTGGAATTAAGTCATCCGGGACGTGGGTGAGACCCGGAGGGACCGGAGGGAGAAACTAGCCGTTGTCTAGGCAGGATGAGGCGCGCCGCCTACCTCCGGGGCCACGCTGCCGCCCTCGCTGTAGTTCTCGGAGATGAGCTGGTCGAAGAGCAGGTGAATCTCCATACGGGACACAGTGCTGTCATCCGGCTGCAGCGCGCGGAGCCTGGCAGACAAGCGGCGGAACCCATCGTCCTGCTCTGGCGACAGCTCCCGCGGGGCCTCTCGCGGCTGCCCACAAGGAAGAGAGGCGGCGACCTGCACCGCCGCCATTTTTCCTACGTGAGATAGCTTGGGAAATACTTCCGGGGCACCGCTTGGGGCAGGGCCTCGTTGTGTGCTGTAGTTCCGGAAAGCTTTTATTTGCTCTATAGGTTGCAAGCCGTGCTGTGATTAGGGAGGTAAAAGGTGTCAGAAATAAGGCTTGGAAACTTGCCACTCATCACTCCTTACCCTCTCAGAAAGTTTGCTCCCGGGCAGGGCTGATGTTGCTAGAGTTTAAGATTGTGGCTGGAGATGGAGAACACTCTTGTAGATGGAGGTGACAGAAAAGTTAGCTATATGACTTCCTTCTACTCTTGATGTTCTAATAGGACATCTTATCAGAGTCTTTGATTTTTTCCCTTAACCCCAGGCACAACATACCCTCACCCAGAGAGATGAACGGGTTGCTATAGCAATGGTTCTCTTTGCTTAAAGCCCAGAGTATTTGAAGCAATACTTAAGACATGTATTGCACGGAGCTAGAAGGATATAGAGCTGCTTCTTACCACCGTAAAGGTATAAAGAGACTGTGTGAACTGTCTGGGTTTAATGACATATATGACCCACATAAAATATTATTCAAGACTGACTGACCTTTGTATTATAGAGTACACTGATGCTAAGCTGTGAGTTCCCAGTCTCAGGGTGGGAAGTGGGTGTCTAGGGACACCTACCGTGTAACTCAAGTCAATTCTTCCTGGGAACTCTGTATATTTTTTTCCCCTTCAGTTGGTGATGACCACAGAATACATATGTTCATTTTTTTTTTTGGTGGACCCATATTGCCACCCACAAGGATATATGCTATCAGAACTTAACATATTGGCATTAGTGGCTTTTCCACAATCAGGATTAGATAACTGAGAGAAACCGGTTAAAGGAAGGCGGATTTATTGTTATTATTAATTTTTTGGTGCACTATTTTAGGGGGTTTAAGTCTATGCTTGGCTAGATCTCCTGCTTTGCTCTGTAGTACAGCAGAATTATCACGACAGCAGGAGTGTTTGGTTGAGGCTTCTCACCTGAAGCAACCAGGAAACAGCAAGAAACACATAAGGGCCAGGACAAAACCCACCCCAGTGACCTACCTCCTCCAGCAAGGCCACTTCTTAAACAGTACCGTCAGCTATAGACCAGGGAGACATATCATATTGAAGCCATAACAATCTCCAAGCAAATAACTCAAGTAGTGTGGAGACTTTTACATTAATGATTTATTAAAAGAAACACCTTGGCCCTCCCCACTGTGCTTGTAATCTCCATTCATGGCCTCCATTTTCAACTGTTTTCTTGGTCACAGAGCTCCAAACAGGCACATCTTCTTCCAGGAAGAAGCTATAGGAAGAAATGAACAGTAATTAGAGAAGATGGCCTTTGAGAAAATTCTTTGTTGGAGAAACAGATATGAAAATTATACATGAGACTTGCTGTTTTAGGTACTTGGATACCCAGAATGCAATGAGAAACATCAGTTCTTGATTCTGGAAATCCATAGCACCATCAAGAAGCCAGAAAGCACTACAGGCAGGCTGGACAAATAAATGTTCTGAACATGAACACTTTGGTGCTGGGGCCCAGCTCTGGCAGGCTCTTCTTTTCTGTCGGTTCTCCTTGAGGTGGCAGACAGGGAAGAGCGTTGGCGGAGGGTAAGACTCTTGTCTGATGAGATATTTAGGGTTGTTGTATAATAATTAAAAGTTTACTTATCTAAGTTACTTTGCTACTGTAGCTGACCTGCCTTCTGTGTTCCTCTGGGGCCAGAAACTGCAGTCTCTGGCATTTAGCACCTTATCCTAAAACAGCAGGAGATTAAGTAAAGGATTAATTGCTAGAGCTTTTTCCCTTTTGTCTAGATGCCTCTTGCTTGTCAGGCTAGGGGGAAGTTTGGAGCAATAAACTTCTATCGAACCAGGAGAAAAGAATAATGTTCACAGAAGGAAAAACTTTTACATAAGCAAATATGCATAAACTCACATAAGTTCATATACAGATGCATGCATGTGTATTTAAGCATTTCCATTCAAACCAGTTGGGTCCAGCTTGCATACATTCTCACAATTACATACTTACACACACATATCCATACTTACAGATGCATTTGGAGCAAAAGACCAAACACCAGTGCAGAAAGAACTCACTCATTCTGGATGAAAAATGAGCTCTCGTCTTTATTGCACAGAGAAAGAAGAAGCTTCTACCGTTTTAATGCTAAATGAATTAATCTCAAGTCTGTAAGAAGACAGCTTTGTTCCTTTTCATCAGACCAAGCCTGCCTCATAATTGAGAAAGGACCTGTCCTATCCCACGGTGAGGAGAAGCTGCCTGCTCCTCCTCTCTCTGCAGCTTCTTCTTTTTTCCTCTTTCCCTCTGCATTCTGAACATTGCTTTCTTAGCTTTTTATGTTACTTGTAGTCTCTAAGTTATTCCACTCTGTATTCTCCTTCTAATCTTGCTCTCTTCTCCTGTTCTGATGTCACAGTAATGCTCTTACTCTCAATGCCTTTTCTCCCAATGCTATGCCTTTACTTCTGAGTTCTTTTTGAGTTCAATTCTGTCTAAAAAGTTCTCTTGTGTCCTAACTAAAAAAATTATCCTCGGTTCTGTTCTAAAAAGTTCTGTTCAGATCTATCTAAAAAGTGTTCTGTCTAAAAAGTTCTCCTCAGCTCAGTTCTGTCTTCTTTTTTGTCCTTAGCACTTATACATCATTCAGCATACATGATCACGTAGTAAAAAGTTATCACAAGCTTATACAAATCCAAATCATAAATTGAAATAGAAGTTTACAACAGAGAATGTTTACATGCATATCCATTAGGAGTAATTATCCTGCTAAACATTCATCACCTGTTACAGCTCCACAGGTTCACTGAGAGTTAAACACCACAACTAAGTTATTAGTGAAGTTTTGTATAGATAAATCCAGTCAATATTTTATCTTCTGTCCTAGCATCTATAATAAATCATTAGTTCCTCTTTTATGACCTTTGGTTCATGGTTGTACAACCTCTTAGAATGTGCTCTGAGTAGTAGAAAGTCTGGTCACTATCTAGAAGCAATTAATTGGTGACACATGGGAGGCTGACAGTTCTCGTTGCAGTTTTGACTACCAGAAAAGGATCTAATAGCAGTTCCACTACAAAAGAGCTTAGTGAATACTTATATAATTTTAGGAATTCTTATATGATCATCATAAAGAATTAAGAAGTCATCTATTTGTCTATATAGCATCACTACAAGATAGCACATCTTCGTAGATCTTCAGAGATATGCTCAAAAGGGTGGGCTAATACCTAGTGATTGTTACATATGTTTAATAACAGGAAAAACAAGAATCTTTCAAAAAATGATTTTTCTTCTGGGCCTTGTCTATAGGAGCAAATCTCTCATGGATTATTATAATCTGAAGCAGACCATCTCAGGAAGATCACTTGCTAGTTATTACCTTGTTCTGTGTTCTGTGATGGTTCCTGACACTTTGGGTTTTGTTTTTAATTTAAAATGTGGTATTATTTGTGTGCATGTTTAGGGGTGTGTGTGTGTGTGTGTGTGTGTATGTGTGTGTGTATGTGTGTTTGTGTGTGTGTGTATGTGTGTGTGTGTGCAGTCATGTGCATGCCATGGCACACACGTAGAGGACAGAGGACAGCTTCTGAGATCCAGTTCTCTCTTTCTACCATGTGGGATCAAACTCAGATCACCAGTCTTGGCAGCAGGAATCTTTACCCACTGATCAATTTCATTGGCCCAAACAGTTTGGTGTTTAGAGTACATGCTAAGTCTGCTAATACAGTTTAATCATATTAATACAACTTAATCATGGTAGCTTTTTATTCTTTTAAAAAATTAATGGGTACTGAAAATTAAGTAGGGAAGCATTTAATCATGGTAGCTTTTTATTCTTTTAAAAAATTAATGAGTACTGAAAATTAAGTAGGGAAGCATGGAATAATATGAATCCCATAAAATATTTTTACAGAAAAATGATCTGCTTAGGTCAATATGGCAATGTACATCAAAGGACCGACATGAGAGTATTCTTAGGTCATTGATTATACAAGTCGGGTCATATTCCAAAGGAATTAGTAGGGGTGTGCACATTTTCATATTCAAAATACAACCATGTTAGTATTATAAAATAAATGTTTTAAGCATACATTGATAGTGATTGCTGGTAGAAGAGTGTATACAATGGACTACAGAGAAAGCAAAAATGGCAGGGTGGAGCTCAACATAAGTACTGAGATTAAAGTTGTCCACTAACTATTTTCAAATGAAATAGCTAAGAAATCAAATAGGCACAAGATACTCATTATAAAATATATATACTATATATTTGTGCATAGTTAAATATGCACCACAGTCATAAACAGACATAATTTGGGATGATTCTTATATTCTTGCTCAAATATAGTTTGATTTTTCTCCTGGGTAGACTGGGTTGGGAAATTATTCTGAAGATTTGGAAAGTACCATTCTGTGGAAGGTGCTTCTTCATGGAGAAAAAAAGGAGAAGATATAAGAAGACACATAGGTTCCATTCTACCAACTTCTAGAAAGTCCCATGGAAGTCAAATGTACAACCTGCTTGGTCTGGGGAAGATTTAGAAGAACAGTAAGGGTCAGATTTTTTTTTTTTTTTACCTGTTCTTAGTTTGTAGTACAGAAGTTACTGCATCCAATACTGACACATTGTTCCCCTGGTCCACAGTCCCAGTCACCACTGCAGAGCTCAGCACAGGTGCCTAAGTCAGAAAAGATCAGTTGAAAGCAGGCATGGTGAAATAAACCTATAATCTCAGGACTCATAGGCTAAGGCAGGCAGATCATCAGCTAAAGGCCAAGCTGGATTACTCATGAGTTTACCCTCTCAAGAACAGACAAATAGACTAGTGAAAACCTCTGTGCTTTAGATTCTAGTGCTGGGGATGACAGAACTTGATTAAGGAATACATTTTACCAGTTCCTTTTAACTGCAGTCATAGTAAAGCATTACTGTCTTCTTTCTGCTAAAACAAGGCACACAC